TATATAAAAATAAAGGATTATTCAAACTTTCAACTCAATTAGCAAGTTAATAGAATCTATCATGAATTTATAAACTGTTCATTGATTGAAATATATAATTTTGTAGAATACATCAATCTGGTCCAATGTTATTCCTATCGTACTAATCTTCAATGACTAGTTTCATCTTACATTTTATTGAGAAGAATTTTTCTCATAACAGCTATATGTGCTTTTATTCGAAAAGGTTCAATACAAAATTTATCGTGTCAATGGAATAGCATTCATCATATTAGCTGATTATAATTTTAATTTTGTAACATTTTCTATATTCCTAAAGGTATTCATATTGACAATCTTATGTTTGAAAAGTTTCCTATTTTGGAATTTGTTGTCTAATATCCTACTCGCTTGGATATATTTTTCGACAATTTTTGCAGGTTTAATTGAAATTCTCTTAGTGTTCTTTTTAAAATTGAATAGAAGATGCTAGATAAATGAATATTATTCCATTGAAATGATAAGTCTCCTATAAAACCCTTGCGACGTGAAAGACATACTGCGGTTATGGAAAAGAGCTTTTCTCAACAATATAAGATGAAATTATTTACTCAAAATTGATAAAATACCAAAAAGATGTGTAATATATTGATGGATTTCAAAATATCTTCTTATTAGATAAAGCTCTCTCTTTTCCTCTATTAAATCATATATTTCGATCAATTACCATTAATTTACTGATAGGAGCCGAAACTTTTCAATCGCCTTTTATTATATCCAAAAATTACACGAATGCGATAGAGAAAAAGAAATCTTTTGTAGAACTTTAAAAGATCTATGAAAAAAAAATAGAAGAGACAGATCAAACAATTTGACTCAGTCATCTATAAATAATCAGATCAAAGTGAAGGATTTGTAACTCTCCTAACTTTCTTCTCAACCAATGATTTACTTCGACAATATCGATATCAAATGCTATCAAAATTTGATGCTTTTTTAAATTAAAAAGTAATTGACCAAAAGCAATAGTTCCTTAAAAAGAGCAACAAAAATCATATTCGATATCAAAAGTAAAAGGCATACGTAGTTTGTGGAACCATGAATCGTCTTAAAAAGACAACAGTCGACGAAATTAACTTTATCATTCACTAGACTCATCTCAATGTACGAGGAAGCAGTAGTTAAGAAAGAACACATCTTTGATATGAGCGCATAATTAAATTTATAAAAATCATGACTTTTCAGAAGAATTTGAACAGTTTGTTCAAGATTTTTATTGATAAATTTACTAGCGATCATAAGATTTGCGCATAAATACTATATTGCAGTGAAATAATTATTAAGGCGACTGATTCAAATGTTTCTTTGACTAGCGAATACTTCAGTAGGAGTTAACAGTCTTTTTTTTGTTTTTGTTTTCAATTCATAGTTTTTAAAACAACCAATGACATAACTATTAACTACTTCTATCAGCGTTCTGCAAGATTTCAGCATCATCCTTTTAAGGATTGTGACCTTCCAAAGTCCTCTTTTTCTTTTGAATAACTTTTGAAAAATTTATATTCCAAATATTCAAACATAAAGATTATTTTTTTTTGGCAAGAAATACACGATTTTCTTAAGGTAAATCAAACAATAAAGTGAATATTTGTGATAATATCTCAGAGTTTCTAAATTTCGTCTAGGACAAATGCCTACGCAAGAGTTCAGGAATAACATATTGGCGAAAGTAATATTGGCAAAAATTGAGTAACCTTTTATTTCAATAAAATAAATTTTTTTGAGATTACATGTATAGTAATAAAATTGGATAATCGAGCTTATTATTCTGATGATTCTTAAAACTAGATATCAATGGCAAGTATTAGCTAGAAAAACGTAGATGAAATTGATTGATCTATTCAACAGAAGGAGACAATTCACTGTAATTGTGAGAAAATATTTGCTTAGTCTAAACGAGTTGATAACGACTTGTTTTTTAAAACAAAAAACAAAATTGATAATTGCCTGAAAATTGAAGAAGAACATTTCTCTAGGGGAAAAAGATAAAGAATACAACGATAAGTTATATTATTTATTGAGAATTACAGTTCGACTATAAACTCAATCATTTGACTTGTTTAAAATCAGTTCTAATTGGATTTAGAATGACTAGAATCAGTTGAGACAGAGGGACAAAAGTTAGATAAGTTAGAACACAAAATTTAAATTATGAGATTGTGAGAAAAAATGTTTTGAAGAAAACTACCATCTTCCGGGTCATCAGCTCATTTATAAGCTCCTAATCGTCTCTCCTATTCTCAGCTATGAACATAGAACAGGATTCGACATCATGCTATCCATCGAAACAACAGATTTTGCCACAAAAACAGATATTAATAATTATGGAAAATGAATAAATATGGACAAGCACGTAAAAAAAATGATTAGCTAAGATATTATCATTTTTGTAAAGTTGTGATGTTATATGCGATTATCAAACGATGTTCGTTGGAATATTTTGCAACAAAGATTATGGGCAATCAATTTACATTTATAAAAATTTACCAAATCCAAAACTAAATTTAAAATTAAATCTAAATATGTTTGAAGTATTCTATCTTATAAGATCTTACCGTCTGCTTGTTTAATCTGAGTGTGTGTATAAGTCTATTAGTATCTTTAGAATGTAATAGGAATACGATGCGACCATTTCCTTGCAGAATATTCTATAATGATGATCGGATTTTCGTTATTTATGATCTATTTTTTCTGAAGTCATGTATTGTTGAGTTTGAACTTATCAAAGTTTATGATTTTCATAACTAAATTCTCAGAAATTTAAAATCTAAAATAACTTTACAGGACAATGCCACGCCTACCAGGCAC